AAAAAAAAAAAAAAAAAAAAAAAAAAAAAAAAAAAAAAAAAAAAGAAAAAAAGAAAAAAATTGTACTTGACCGTTGGATAAACTAGGAGTGGTTTGATCTATACGACAGAAACACTTTATCCGCATTCAATATTATTTTTTTTTACAGTTCCCCACTGTGTTTGAGTGAGTGGGGAGATTGAATTATGATAATTTTGGACCACGGCAAAGTAGTTCGAAACAGCGCTAAAACGACAGTTGAACCAAAATTAATACCACCAAAAAATCCACGATACTTTGAAGACATTCTTTATTGAGAAAATGAGTATAGACTAAGTTTCATATTCGTTTATAGTGTCAAAGGTCGGATGAATCTAAAAAGTTTTTCTAAAAAATTTTGTAAGAAGGGCTACAATGGCAATGTTTGGACAAATTTTGAAAATGTTCATTTTTTTAGTTCTTCTTGGCCCAGGTGACCGTTACAGGCAATTGCTCTTAAGAATCACTCGACGTTTCTGTGGTCGTAAGTGCAGTGTTTGATTGAATAAAGAATGGTATCAAAACTATTTCTAGAGCACTGTAGGGCTCGACAGTCAGTTCTAGCTAACATGTACAGTCTTCCCTTTGTCAACATTATCCATTTTATCAGTCACTTGCTGAATTATTCAGCCGAGACCAGGGGGGTTATCTTCCTTGGTCAAATTTAAGTTGCAAATTATTATATTTAACCTGTAATTATATATTTTCCTTATAAAAATAAATCATTACAGTAAAATACGTTTAGTCATGGACATTACTTACTCGGAGCTGCTGGTCGCGATACCACATCTCTAACAACAGAAGTGATGACAAACGTAAGAATAAAGAATTTCATACTGGTCCCTACTCGAAGTACACCTATATACAAGATTTTTTGTCTTTATCAAGAAGGGAATTTGTAGCCGTAAAGAAGTCGCAATGATAGAGTATGTTTTTTAAGAACACTTGTGAAAAAGGCGTTCCTGAAATCAAACGTCATTGACACGATAACCGCTTGAACTCGATACTTCACTTTTCTTAGTTTAACTTGAAATGCTTATTGGTATTCGTGAAATGAGTATTCATTTAGCTAGTAGCTATAGCTATTTTGTTCGGATCTCTCTCTTTAATGGCTAAGTTTTTTTCTTCAAGTTATCGGCTGGCATTTACTTGCACAAAACAGTACTCGGCAAGTTTGCTGTGACTTAGTTAACTTAGTTATGATGTTTTTCTGAGAAACATTTTAAAAATTTCATGCATTAATCTACCATATGAATTGTAAGTTCAATCGTGATTTATTTCTGGTATTGTTATAAAGTTCCTTTGTCCTCGTTACGTTTTTCATGCACGCATATCATTGTTCCATTTGGCTAGGTAATGTTTGTAGCGATGTTTAGAAAATAAAGCAGGTAACTGAATAAATGAAAACTCAGTTTCATTTTACTCCGAAAAATGTCTCTGGGTTGATCAAAGTCAGGGCGCGGCCGAAGAAAAGATCGAATTGGAACGTAACATATTAGGGTTTGGAGAGATATATAGTAGAAACCGGAGAACCCGGATAAAATCCCTGGAATCGAGGGAGAGATCTAACAAACTCGACACACATATGAAGTCCCGTAATCAAACCCCGGATGGAAGCCATAAATGAAAGTGGAGTGTACTTCCATCACACAATATCCTTGATTCCGCGGATTCCAAACTAACTTTATTTTTTTAGTTCTTTGATACACAATATAGAGCCTGTTACCCAGAGTACATCTGCTACGGAGACTTTTTTTAGGATTTAAATTCTTTTTTTTGGTTGATACATTTAACCAGGACCATACTTCCAGACATCGAGTGCTGAACCGTCGTATGGACTTACGGCTACGCTGGAGATTTCGGCTCCAACACCGCTATCCCGGGAGGAATTACAGACTGATCAGGAAGCTCGGCCGAAGCCTAAGGGAGAGGTTAGTCGGCCCCTAGACCGTAAATGATTAACCCCTTGCTATGACCAGCAGACCCAGTACGTCGCTTGTGTAACTAACATCTTAGCACGCATAGTTACTCCTCTCCATGTGGGATTATTTTGAGATACTATTCGCCACTAATATTTCCAATCAAACATGGAGTAACCAGAAAAAACAAGAGCCATATTTCTTAATGCGCATGCTCGACGAAATAATTCGCCTAATGCATTTTGTCGTTCATGCGCAGTCAGAATTATAAGAGATGGGAACGAGTTTGGGATTTTATCCAATGCGCAGTAGAGTACAAACACTATAAGTGTGTAACATAAATACCACTAAATGCTGCTAAATCATGCTAATCCGATTGTTTTCTATTGTTTAATTAGCACTATTTACTACTAAATAGTGCAAAGTGTTGCACACTTTTAGTGTTTGTACTCTATCTGTTCTGTATAAGTATAAAACTGACCTGATCACAGAAGTCGACTTTATACGAAAAAGGGTCATTTTATTTTTTTCTTGAATGAAGCTTCCATTTTGTTAAAACCAAAAGAAATTTTCATCCACAAAAACAAACACAGCTGCTAACGTGTATTTATATTCTAAACCCAACCCGGCTCTCTCTCTCTCATTCTCGCTGCGCATGCTCAGAGAACATCCAGCGTTCTTAGGGTTTTCAAAGGTTCTGCTACGCTCATTTCCTAGCCAAACGTTTGTAAACATCTCGGCTGGTCCCAGTGACGAAATCCTGCTTTAATTCTGTTATTTTTTGTCAATATGTTTACCTCGCATCATGGGCATCAAGCACCAAATTATAGAAAAAATTCTAATTTTTAAAAATGATTCAGATAAAGCGCGCGCTCTGATTGGCAAAAAACACATGTTTGACGAGAGTATCAAACACGTTCAAGCTAGTCATTTTTACTGCGAGCGCGCTCGAATGTTTAACGTTTATGGCAGAAAAATAAACAGCATTTTTTGTTGATTTGTGTCAGTGCGATTGGGAAGCTGAAAGAACACTAACTTGAGAACTCCGTTTCGCGTCGTGGTTTTCTACGATACGTTTATTCTTCTCGAGTTCTCGGTAGCCCGCCTGTTTTGATTAGAGTATCAAACACGCTAAGCTGTTTTACATTTCTTCATTAATAGTTTGGTTTATTGAGTAAAGATATTGTTGAGCTATTCTCCAGAAAATACGTAGTATAGACTGGCGATAGAATCTGGTTTATTCTTTCGATTTTATGATCAACATCTCGATCAGTAATTCCCAATCCCTATACGTCCTTTAAAAAAAATCCTTTAGTATCGGACCGTTCCTGCGTCAATCGCGTAGTTCTAGCATCTTGATTGGCTGAGCATTTATCTAGCGTCCTGTGATTGGTCCATCGGATGTCGCCAATACTGCTTCGTGACCGTACCATGTTCTATTTCTCTGAATGATCCGTATTTAAGATAGGAAAGAATATAGTAGGATTTTTTGCATCGTACTTGTTATTGGAACCAAGGATACGTAGGGCTGGACCGGTCAGGTAGGAGTTGCCGCTTTCCATTGCAGTGATTTCAAATGGAACTCCTTGTTTGTTCTGCAACACTGGGATATGAACCACATTAAACTCTTTCTTGTTTCCTGTAAGAAAAGACCAGGTGAGTGGCAAGTTTTTATTAGAAATGCGTATAAATGAAATATTATAAGCATTAAAGGCAGAGTTTAGCTGTCGCGGTGGAAAACTGATAAATGCAAATATTATGTATGCCTGCAAATGAGATGCAAATGCTGGAAACAACGAGCATCGTGTTGACCCGATAGCCTCACTTGTCTAATTTTTAAAACACGAGAATATCTCATTTCGGGCACAACTGTAACAACAGGTATTAGACTCATGCATATGAGAGTTATTCAGCTGGTTAATGGCAAGAAATACACAATTAAAACTATATTAAGAACGGCTTTAGTATTTTGCTCACAATTCGAGATATAGTGCATGTAACCGATTCTTGTCTACTCAAGTGCTTTGCCCAGTCTCAAAACGGCATTATAAAACTGCTACCTACCTACCTACCTATTACTACCTACTAACTACACACTGCACGCGCGCGCGGTCCATTTCTTTATATTAGCAGCTTGTCTGCCATTCGTTTCTGTAAATTATGTTTGGATTCAGTGAGTAAAAGCAAATCTCTGTTGATACGCTACTATTTCAATGCGATTTGGTTTGACTTAATTCATTCATTCTTACCCTGTTTTTTAACGAAAATAATGCCTTTTCTTGTTTCTATATGTCCGTGGCGTAGATGAACAGGAAGTGCATTAACCTGTTGTCGCTTTACTCTTCCGGGTACTCCTTTACCTAACACATCGAGATGAAAAACAACTGTAACTGTATAAATGACCCACAAGTACACACAACATAAGATCAACAACGCGATAATGATGAAGCTACCAATAAGATCTGTCAGAGAATTAGTGTATAGGATTAATCATAAATGCTACGCTTTTCTCTGTATAAGTTTTTGAAGTTATTTGTAATTGTCGCATAATTTTTTCTCCTGTTTTTGATACTTCGTTTTTGATGTTTTGATTAGAAGAGCAGGTGTACAAGCAACCTCATCCGGGCAGGCGTTGTCAATCTAAAGACAATTCAAAGCATTTCTTATGCGATCACTTTTCTAAGGGGTTGATAGTTCTCTAACAGTTCTAGCTATTATTTATTATTTTCAATATTTTTGAGTAATTTTATTTTCTATAATACGAAAAATCCATCAACTGCAAAAACTATACGATAACAAAGTGGGGATAACCGGTGGAAAAGAATGAAAATTGACGAATAGATAAATGAACCGTAATCTTTTTGATACCCAAGAAGAAAACTGGAGTGATGTAAAGAAAAGGGAGAGAAAAATGAAGCAAAAACTAACATAAAGCACTTGTGTTACATGTAAAACTTTATCAAAAAATCCAAATACAACTCTAAAGGCAATAATATTTCTTTCTTTTACTGTAATTATCAGGCAATTCTCCTCTAAAAACTACACTCCTTTTTCCCAACAAAAACCTTGCACATCGAATGATAGGGCCTCGGAGTGTATGATGCGTTGAGTTGTCATCACACCCACAATTAGCCCGATCGCTGAAGAACAGTACAGAAAGCTTATACTTTAACTGCCTGGACATCTCTAATGAATCCATCGTTTCTTACGTACCTTGTTCACTGTAGCATGGCCTGGAAGATGCGACGGGAACCAGTACGAAAAGCGAAAGTAGTATAACTAGTCTCATCGCTCTCGATCTAATAAAATATCCATTTTGCGGTACTTAGTAGGGATTGTTTTTGTTATACGAAAATAAACAGCACCAAACATGGTTCTTATGCGCATGCCCTTATGTCTGCGCGCAATACCACTGATCATTATAAACGTTGACTCGCGTCAGGAACTGAACAAGTTCAACCATTTTTTTTTTTTTCTTTCTCTCCAGATTTTCTAGTACTTACTTTATAATTTTGTTCAGGATTAATGATTAAACACCAAAGTATATGGGTCTAATTGGAAATAAGCTCACTGCTTTATTAGTTCACCCAATAAAGCGATTATTATTAATATTATTAGTACAGAGCTCGAAACTCGTTTTCCATAAAATGAACAGAGTTGGCGAGTGCCTCTAGGATTCGGTGTAACATTGAGACTATTGATAGCTCTCCTTCGTTCATATGTAGCTAAAAACGACTGTGGTCTATCAAAATTAAAAAATCGTAAACAACGACCTTTATTTACAAAATTTTGTATTGCATACGCTTGACAGGGTTTTCAAAGCCCTGGGCCAGAATGCGAGTCATTCACTACCTTCCTTACATCGACTTCACTGATCAAACACAAAGCATTAATTCTGGGATCCATCGAAGCTGCAACGTTCAAATTCGAATAATCCTTTGAACTTACCTTGCAAGCCTCTATTTAATACTTTATGTTTGACTATTGAACCAACGTATGGAAAGTTCGGATTGTTTGATTTTAGTCAATGGGCGGAATGTTTGATATTTTAGCCATTCTGAGGTTGATAAAAAAGTAGGGGCGTGTTGGTATTTCAGTTATTTGTGGGACAAAATAGTTTCTTTCTCGCCAAAGTTGTCTACTATCGTTTGTTTAGTACTTCAGCAACAGGGTCCATTCTTACTGATTGGTTAAGATTTTTCTTGATCTGCTCCACTTTCTTTTTTAACCAATCATCGTCCTCAGGTTTCATTGAATAAAAAACAGACGAAAAACTGCTCTCGTTCGTTCCTTTGATTTTGATTTTGATTGGTTTTCCAGTGAGGTACGTTTCCCCACTTTCTACGGCTGTGGTTGTACCGAGCGCTTCTGATTGGTCTCTTGAACTAGAACCACTCGACTCACTACCAGGCGCTGTATCGTCTGAGAAAAAATCAATGAATCGAATTAGTGACTCACAACATTCGAAAAACCTTCAAATTTTATATAACTCTAGAACAATCTCTGTGCTGATGAAAATCCGAGAAAGGGTAACTCACAGATCGAATTGGAATTTAGCGTGTTAAGCTATGCGAAGGGACGGCTAGGAAAACCGGTGAACCCGCCGAAAGAAAAACTTCAAATTAATGAGGCAAAGACCTAAAAAAACTCTGCTCACAGAATTTCATATAGGAAAAAGAAAAAGAAAAACAAAAGATGGCCAAAAGATGACGTAACACAGGTATGCCGTCAGCCGGTATATTTTGGATAGTTTACTGGTACTCAGTGTTATGTTATTCGTGATATCTAGGAAAAGAAACCTGCAGTTTAACTCAAAACATTATCTAGGATCAATACACTTTTAATAATATTAGTTTTCGTAGTCGGCCCCGTGGCCCAATGGATAAGGCATCTGACTACGAATCAGGGGATTCCAGGTTCGAGTCCTGGCGGGGTCGCTATTTTTTAATGCTGCTATTCTCACGAGTGTCACACGCTTTGACGATAAAAATTATCTAATTTTTAGTCTACATATCCAGCAATACTAAATATTCAGAGATATTTTTTCCACATCAATTTTTGAAGAAACCGACTCTAAGTAGGAAACGGAGTCGTACCCCGCCGCGGCCGCAGYCAATGTACAGTGACGTACAACCCTTACATTCATCCATAACCAACCATTTATTTAACAAAATGTTTATTCTAGGAAAGACTTTCAAAACCGATCTTCAATAACTTTCAAGGCACTATGCCAAGCTCTTTTACAGTGTGACCACATCAACCAAGGCCACCCAAACAAATTTCAAATCAAACTGATTCACAAATCACATTTTTAACGCTGCATAGCAGACGAATTAGTGAATTCTGGGTCTTGTTCACTGTTTTTTTTTTGTTCATTTCTGATCACACACACACATGTATAAAGAAAAATATATGATTTTGAAGAGGAAAATGTGAAAATTTGCATAGATTGTTCAAATACTCAATCGTACGTGATTGGCTAATTTGTATGAAAAATTGTCTGGATTGCCTTGGTTGGTGTAGTTGCACAATAAATTAACTTATGTCAAACCTCAACTAATGATTTGCAAATTTAACAAATTATATTGAAATTCAATGAATATATATTTTCTACCTTCGATGATTTCGTTTTTTTCAAGCTTTGAGTGTTCCAGTACCACACCGCCATTACCTAGTTTCGAGGAGTCTCGCTCCAGGTTTCTCAGCAGTTTTGCAATGTCCACTTGATTAAGCTTTTTTGGTTTGTTAGTATCTACGTGGGGAAAAAATGACTAAAATGTTGAAAAAAGAAGATATTTTGTCGATAGAAATGCAATGTAATTAGACATTGAGGAAAAAACTGGGTCGAGTTGGGATGGCAGTGCATTGTGGGACTCTTTTTTGGGGACGAAATGGACGCAATCTTGAAAATATCTTCCCTACGTAACAGTCCCAAAATGCACTGCATTAGCAACTTGACCAGGGTTTTTTCCTCAAATTTGGAATTGGGCAAATTTTTGAATACAGATTTATTCATTTCTCACCACTTTCCATCTCTTATAATAAACTATTTAGGTTTCGATAGATATGATACAATATCTGGAAAGTCAACTGAAGACTTTAATACCATGTATTATTTGACTGTAGTCCCTTTCAATAGTCCTAACAATAGTCCCTTTCACTGTAGTTCCCGGTGCCATCTTGAAAGGTAGCCATACCTTTGCATCGATGCGAGACGAACGCTGAGCTTTCATTGGTAGAGACCTTTTTTAACACGTTGTACAATTATTCACATGTCCTTATCATTCCAAGCTCACCGTTCGTCTCGCTTTGATACAAAGGCATAGTTACCTGTCGAGATGACGCAGGGAACTGTGAAGCGGACTAATCAGTAGATTTTTAAAAGTCCATGCTTCCTAGAAATCAGTACTCCTTACCTGCCGCCATTTCAAGGGGACACAACAAGATTAACCAAGTCCAGTATAAAGCAAACGGTAAGATTGGCATCACAGTAAAGATCTGTAAACCTAAAACAAAGCTACAACATCATTAGGATCAAAGTAGCGGGAAGCTTATTGTTTAAGTCTGTGGTAATGATGGTGGGGGAAGGGGTGATGATCTACATTAACTGCTAGCTGTTCATTAACCGCAGAGGAATATTCATTGAAGCGAAGAAGCATTGTCATTAGAGCGAACAGGCATACAATAAGGCGAACGGAGTCTTAAGAGTGCGATGGAACTTTCATTAAGAAATTTAGCATTGAATTTGACAATCATGAATATGTTTGCGTGAGTTCATTAACGTTTTCAAACTTTCATTAGCGTTTTGGTGCAGACAATAAACCACAACACGCATTCAATACATTAAAAGGTGCACAAGACCAAATTATGTACTATGAAAATTATCATACGGTTCGAGAAATAGATACGTTTATGATTATTATAAATTATGGCATTTTTTTTGTTGGACTCAAGCACTGAGTTAATGTAGTCAAGAAAAATTAGTTACGGTTGTCAGAATCAATACATTGTTTACCACATGGAAGGGATGTCCCCAGAGTTTTTACCTCTATTTCCTGACAGATTTCAGTAAAGCGTGAAAATCACCCAAAAATTTCACCAAGACTAAACAATTAAGACAACAGGTTATGCCATGACGTCAGTCGGCAGCTACTTCACTTTTCCGCCTTGGATTTCTCGGCGGTTCTCAAAATGGCGGCTGATCGAAGAAGAAGTTATTCGCAACTATTGGACTGTACGCCGAAGCAAAATATGACGACCAATTTGACTAACTATTGTTCTGTACTGACTAGCCTCGTGTTGACATGGAAACATCAACACGTTTTCACATGTATGAGAGGCTACTTAGTCTAGAACAATAGTTATTCAAATTAGCCGCCATAATTTAATTCGGTCATAACACCTCTTACAGTTCTTATTGCTACAAGAGAGAAAAGTGCAAGGAAAACTTTCCAAAACAATATTGTTTGCCTCTTTTTAAGAGTAATTATGTTGGTTTTTATTTCTGATGGGTTAGTTTACAAATATTGATAGAATGAAAAATATTTTTTATCCCGGAAAAGTAGTAATAAATTATACTTGTTTTGTAGAGGACCGTGGTGTTCTACATATGACCCTCAGTCGTGAGACAAATGAATAAGTAACATTTATTTTTACAGACATTCTTTGTCAGTAGCGCTCGGGAAATTGTCGTCGTAACGAAAACGGTTTTCGTGGAAGTCAATCAAGGCGTTTCTATGGACACGCTATGGAAACACTTTGATTGACGTTTACCAAAACCCAGCCCTATTTTCGTGACGACAAATCATGGGATTTCACACGTGCTATCGACTAAGAATGTCAACAAAAACAATTGACATTCTTCTAATTTGCTTGCGTAACCACAAACAATGGTTGAAGTCGAAACTGGACTTGCTAAGATACTAAGTATAGACCTTTTCCGAACTGTCCCCTTAGTTCACGGCGCCGTCTTGAAAGGTAGCCGTGCCTTTGTATCGAAACAAGACGAAAGGTGAGCTTGGAATGATAAAGACATGTAAATAATTGCCCAAGTTGTTAAAAAAGTCTTCATCATTGCAAGCCCACCGTTCGTCTCCCTTCGCTGCAAAGGTATGGCTACCTTTCAAAATGGCGCAGGGAACTGTAATAGGGATTATTCACTCAAGTGACCACAAAACAATAGCTTGACTTGACGTGTAAAGACATTTACTGTATTTGATTAAGTCTAGCCTCGACTTTGAGTAATTGTTTTGCGGTCAGTTGAACGAAATATTCGGGAAAGGTTTGTTAGATTATCCGCGGCCGGACTATAAGGTGTGATTATATTTTGACTATAAGCTACTATTCTTCGTTTGTACGTTCCACAATGCACTTCGGTTTTGGAATGCACTATTCAGTGTGCAGCATCCAGTGTTCAACCTTTTTCGAAATAGCTGTATAACAATGTTGTATAACTAAGTCATCTAGATCTCCCTGATCTTTCAGTCTCAGCATCTATGTTGTATGTTTTACATATCTAAATATTCCAGAGAATGGGTATAGTACTATACATTTGAGCCGCCCATGTATAGCCTGCTGCGCAGTAGCTTTGAGGCGCTTCCGGTTTCCGTCACTCCCCCTATCTCGTACCCAGAGCCTTTTTCTGGCCTGCAGCGAAGAACGAGCATTCTGGCACAATCCTTGTTTTTTTGTTGTTTTTTTTCTTTTTTTTGAGACCAGGATTTCTTGGATTTCCGGTATAAGAGCGCATACTTTCAAAGACATTTGGCAATAAAAAAATATGTTCCCGTTTTCCGTAATTTTTATTTTGATCGGAGGTAAAATTAGAACTCTGTTTAAAAGCATGATTTTCATTGATTATATTTCACTTCCGGAAAATTGCACATTCACCAAACAGAGCCGCGTTCTTCGCCGCAGGCCAGAAGAAACGAAGGATCTGGGTACGAGATTGTCATTCCCTCTTATAAGGTTTTCGCTTATAACGACCAATGCAGTACTAGTGTAGAATTGACGGGAAACGTCGAGCCAAAAAGCGCACTTTTTTCCAACTCAAGGTGCATTTCGCCACTCTTTTCGTATGGTATCGTATGTTTTCTGAGGTCTTACTGAATGGTCTTGTACCTTGGTACTGGTACTGTCAATCCGTTACATCGCTAGAACATGTGGAAAGACAGGTACTTGGACATTTCATTCAAAAAATCGTTTACTAGTTTTCATTTTAATAAGTATCAAAGAATACCGACATGAAATTGAACACCACGTGGAATGTGACCCATTCATGAATAAAACAATAATGTCACAGGTTCCTTATTTGCCATCATCCAAAAAACGCAACTCGCTGAATTTTAGTCTCTGAAAACTTTGTTCGTGGTATATATGAATGAAAAAACGCACTCGTTTGGGATTGTCAGGCATGAAGATTTAGAATCATTTTATCWATCATGATTACAAGAGGTGCTGGTTTCTTCCTGGTCGTGTTTGTTGTCTTGTTTTGTTCAGTGGGGTCTAGAGGTAAGTAAACAAGTTCTCTGATGGGATCAAAGATCATGATCTTATTTTTGTTCATCTTTTATGAGTATATTGCTATGATATTTTGAGTTCCGTTATATAAGTCTGTGTTTTGTTCAATATTAGGAATGAGTCTATACTGTTATGATCTTTCGTATTAGATTAGTGTAGGCCATACTATTTTCTCAGACGACTGCATATTAGAGTTGACTAAACTATTCGATGTTTTCTAAGGTCCTTCAACATTTATTTCAAACTTAATACAGCTTAAAAGAATTGTTATTGCATTGAAAACCTACATTAAATTGCAAGATAATTTGCTGACACGCCACGCCATCAAACGATACAGGTGTCAGATACTTCCACCGATTGGAGAGATGAGATAATACAAGAAAATAAATTTGTCCTATTTATACAAATTGTGAATCACTAGATTGATTCCATTTCACCCATGAAACAGAGATTCCATAGTCAGGCATTCATGATCAATAGGCAAATGAACCCAAAGAGGGAAAATACTAAAACTAATATCTAATTTACCGCGTCGTGATGCTACAGGGAGTCCTCGTTGACAGAGAGTCTCCCGTCTCTCTAGCCGACACACTCAACACTTTCCATCGCTACACAACTCAGATACTTTATAATTTAATAAGGATTAAAGAATCACTCTGTTTTAGGAATATATCATAATCAATTTTCCTTTCCATAATTTGCTAATTTTGAATATATTTTGAATATTGGTTTTTAAGACCGTGGCAACGTTGATTGACATGGTAGCAAAGTAACATGTGGCGTATTGTTTTCTTGTGACATTTTTATCCTTCGTGTTTGTACTGACGAACATTTTTTGTTTTAAACTGCATCCCATTTAATCTCAGAAATATTATGTTGTTGTAACCATGCTCGCGGGGTTTTATTTGGGAACTGAGAGTTCGAATCAGAACGGAATTGTTGATAAATTAAATTCTAATGGTTTTTTCTTTCCCGCCAAAACCCATCGCAATGCTGTCATACCCGGAAGTGTGCGTCTCGAGCTCCGATTTCAACGGAATATATTTTCAAGCGAGACTAAAATGGTTAGCACTCTTTCACATGGGCCAAACGGACCTTTGAGCGTCAAACAATATAAAACAAAATTATTGTGTTACTGTCTCGTTCTATTATTTTATAATCCAATAGTGTCCCTTTGGCCCTTGTGAACGAGTGCTAACTGACTAAAGTCATGTATAATTGCCATTTTTGCAGATGTGCACAAGTCCAAACAGCATAGGAGGAGTCTGAATCAGATAAGAACAAAGCTCAACGGTCATGTTGGTGAGAAAACTGTGCGCTATAACTATTATGGCGGGAAGAAGAGAACGTTCCTACCTATTGATAAAATCAATATCAAAAAACTCTTTGGCCAATCTCAACTTTTGAGTAAGAGAAAAAAACAAAAAAATTTCGAGAAGAAAAGCGATTTTTTCATACTGCACCCGGGCAACAACAAACTAAAAAATCACAGTACAATTAAGACTGGAAAAGGCAATGGGACGCAATCATGGAAAAAACTCATTGAAAAAGCGTTCAGGAAAGATAGCTTGGCTGATTTGCTGCAAGCGTTCGAGAAAACAAATACAAGTCTGCAGTACAAGAGGAGTAATAAAACTGGGGTCTCCTCAAATAAAACTCGTGATAATAAGACAGAAAACCCGAAAGCCTTGTTGCATGAGGTACTGGAAAACGCTGATCAAAAACAATCAAGCGATGAAAAGATCGCAGCCGAGGAAATCAAACTGGGTCTGGGGAAAATAGTATCACAACTCCAAAAAGTATTGAAACAAGACTCGGTTTTTTTGAAGAATACTACGAAGCCAAAGCAGACGAAGAAGGTTGATCTGAAGAAGTTGGTAGCAGATATGAGAGCTAAAGACAACAATAAGGAAGATAATGATGAGAGCATTTCGCTGAGTCCACAGCAGAAGCTCAAAGTATCCGACTTGAAAATCTCAAAAGATTTGAACTTGGATGGAAAATCGGAAGAACAAAATGGGAATCAAGGAATGGGAATGAATAAGTGGAGTGGGATGAATATGATGAATGGAATGAATGGGGTAAATGGGATGAATGGGATGAATTTTATGAGCGGAATGAATGGGATGAATCGGTTGAATGGGATGAACCAAATGAATGGAATGAATGGCATGAATGCTATGAATGGCGTGAATGGCATGAATGGCATGAATGCCATGAACCAAATGAATGGGATGAATAGAATGAATGGTATGAATGGGATAGATCCAGCGAATGGGATGGCTATCCCAAGTGCGATGAATGGAATGAATGGAATAAGCGCTATGAATGGTATCCCTACCATGAAAGGGTTTAATGGAATGGGTGGGATAAACGGATTTAATGGAATGAATGGAAGGAATGCTAACCCTGCTATGTTCATGAATAATGTACCTCGAATGAGCGACTTAAACAGCGATGTACCAGATCGCACAGAAATACAAAAGATAATGTACAGTCGTTTCAATGGAGACCAATTGGATTTTAACAATTGGCCTTCAGACAAGACGGATATTTATCGGCCGCCATTAGAAAGCTTCGAAGATGAACARCAAGAACCACAAGAATTCTCTCAATTTCACCACTACCGGCGACATCGGGCTCGTGAGCCATACGAAGAAGAAGATGCTGAGGACATGAGGCATGTTGCACCAAGATATCGTGATGAGGAAGAGGATGCAGAAGATGAAGACAGGCCACAACAACAAGAATATGAGGATGCTGAGGAACGTGCTACTATCACTGGACATATACATCTTAGAAAACATCGATTACATCATGATCCAACGCAAAGGAAATCTGTAATCAAACGCCCAGTATATAATACCGAAACCAAGGTGGCAAATATCAAGAATAAAATGGCCTTTGTTAGAAAGGGTTATCAGAAAACAGAAAAACATGCCACAGCTTCTGGAAAAAATACAGTAAAGTAGATGTGTAATAAACAAAAATACTATATTTGAATATTAAAGAAAATAGCAATAGTATAAAAAAGAGCCAGATTTAAACTATGTATATAAAAAGGACTAGCAACAATCTAAACCATAAAAGAATCATAGAAAACTTAAGTGTTGTAGTGGCAAAAAAATAGGCTTGGCAACCATTTTCAACAATTCGGAAGGTATTTGGAAACAAAATTAAGCTCAAATTTGGAGCGTAATCTTTAATTGTCGAAAGTAATTAGGGTATAAAGATGTTTATTTTAAAAAAGCACGCTCGACATACTTGTCATGTTAGTTAAATGATGCATTTTCGTATGACAGAAAGCTTTCGCTATATAAAGGATAATTCAAAGTAATAATTAACTTTAAAAGGCCATGAATAGCTGTTATTACGTACGGTTGCATGCAGATGAGATGCAAATGACCCATAATGCATGATATCGACCCGATAGGTTCAACTATGATAACAACTATTTCCCACGGTATGTGTCCCATATTTTCAAGCTTCGTTTTGGCCGGCAGGAGAGTTTGCAGCACGAACATAACGATAACTTGAGAGTTGAATGAGATCGTAAGACAGAAATACCACAAATAAAAAACATAGTTATTAAAAAAAAAAAAAAAAGGTTGATGAAGGTATTTATTTGCATGCTGAATGTTGCAGGTTTTATATGATTCGTTGGCGGCCACGTTTTGGGAAATGATATTCTTACGTGTAAAATGACTGTATTTTACATGCCCTCGGATCATCATGCAAAACATCTATTTGGTATCTCCAACGATATCGTTTATAGCAATATTTCACATTTTCACCTCTAGCCACTCTATCTATAGTTGAATGGTGTTCCTGATTCTTGAGTTCCATGCAACACCAAAGCAACCAGGCCGTTCGTTACGTTACTTCATTATTGAGAGGGCTTCACTAACGTTCAATTTTACCGATTCGACCACGACCGATGAAAAAAATGGCCATAATAAATGGTGAAATTGTTAGGTTAGCTACTAAAACAGTGTGGCGATGTACGGCGTTGCAAGGCAAGTTCCTCGACTAATAAGAACGTAAGAATTAAAAAAAGAAATGTGGTTTCTTCAACTTGATGGTCTTTGTGAAATTCTTTAAGGTTTGAACACTGAAGCAGCACGCTGCAATCCCTGATGGTGAAACGTGCCTTCCTCGCTCAGAAATATCAGATTAAAGTTCCACCATATTACAGACGGGCCGCAATTATTACTTGAAAGGGCATCTGAAGTTAAACTTTGTCAAATGGCATTGTTATTATATCATCTTTTCATATGAAGGCTTCCCACTTGAAGATCAGTCGCTCCGTCAGCAAACCATTTCATTTTTGTCGAAGGCCAAAACAAGAGTAAACCAATGTGGTGTTTGGAAGATGGCAGTTGCTGTCAGATTTCTGATGCTATGTGCTTTTATTATGATCATCGATATTAGCAAAACAGGTGAGTTAGATTAAAAAAATCTAAGTTTTCCCTGATTCTGGTTCTAGTTACTGAGATATTATTTTCTCTCTGAACAAAATCAAGTAGTCTGTGAATAAATCAATCGTTTTATTCCTTTTTTCAGCCTTTTTCTGCGGCTCCTCCCAAAAACGTCGTAAAGCCCTGTTGGTGAAAAAGTGATCACAAACCTTCTCAGTTATATTTTTATTTTGCCCTAGCTACTTTCATTGTAAATTATTTTGTTCGCAATGATTCGTTATAAGTTCAAAATGCAAATCTTGCTTTTTGACGCACGTGCACAACTGACAAATACGGCCTATTTAATGCAAGTAAAATACTCACAGAAAAAACTGTCTGCAAGTAAGTTACGTTAACTTTGGTAATTTCGTGTTAATTTTTAAAATGTGAAATACTTTTATCAGTCATTTCCTTTTTTTTTTTTTTTTTACAATGATATGTTTTTAGCCTTACCCTCAGACAAGCTTGTCGTAGTCAAAGGTGGTCAATAGCAATAGGCGATAGGCAATAGGCGATAGGCGATAGGCGATAGGCAATAGGCGATAGGCAATAGGCGATAGGCAATAGGCGATAGGCAATAGGCGATAGGCAATAGGCGATAGGCAATAGGCGATAGNGATAGGCAATAGGCGATAGGCAATAGGCGATAGGCAATAGGCGATAGGCAATAGGCGATAGGCAATAGGCGATAGGCAATAGGCGATAGGCAATAAGCAATGGGAGATAGGGAATCCAAAAATCAAGAATAGCTGAAATGACTTGCAATGAGATATACAGTGTGTTTGCAGCCAAAGAAAAGGGTCATTCTAAAGGTTTCGATTACTCGCATCTATTGGTATGCACATAATTCCATTCCGCGTCTTGGTATGACCTATCTCCTATCGAAAACTTCTCTGACTTCCACAACCTTTCGTAATTTGATTAATAAACTTTCGATCAGTTGCCAATTAAACCTATAACATATCTTATTTCTAGCTTCAGGAGTAAAGGAATCGAAGTCAAAACATCATAGCAAATTCGTGCACCATTTGAAAAAGCCAAAGTTAGGCCATCAAATGCCAGAACAAAAAAGCTCCATTAGAAACCCCGGGTTGGCGTTTGAAGAAACTTCAACGGAGTTGATCAAATCAAAGCTGGATAAATCTTTGGGAGTTCTAGGACCGTGGAAACAAAATGCTGGTGATCTTTACATTGGAAACATAGATCTGAAGGGACAAGAGGGACTATTAAACCAACCAGCCCATCCAGTGATGCGTGTCAATGGATACCCCATCAACCCTAAAGGGTCCATGTCTTTGACCCAAATGATAGATGGCACTCTTGATAATGATTTAGACCTTCAGCAGATCGTAGGTCAGATGAGGTACCCTTCAAGACATTTGAAAGGTCAATGGTTTGGAGGTATGGCACCTCAGGCGATGGGCTTGGGCTCGTCACGTGGTATGGCGCAAGGGATGATGGGAAAAATGATGTTTGGTAACATGATTGGTGGACACAAGAGAGACACGCAACATGGTAGGAAGCTAAGGAATATACCAAAAGGCAACCTTTTTATGAATATGCCATCACGTAGTAACACACTTGGAGTTCTGGGTAGGATGATGATTCAACGCAATGCTGCTCTACACAATTATAATAGAAGAAAACCAAAGCAAAAGATATTTATGACAAAAAGGAACAAGAAACCAGCAAGCAAAACTTATCCTTGAAAATAAGGAATTTTTCTTCTATTTTAAGAAGGAAAGAGACTGTCTGAATCGAATGATATTACATTTATAGTTGGCATATTAAATGATCCTTTGTATTCAGATAAAAAAATAAAAACGTATACAATTTTTTTACACTGTAATACATTCTTTGTTGATTACTCTAACTCCTATTTTTTTCTTAAAAAACCCACAATTTTTATGTACATTTACACAAGCCTGTCTGAGATTCAATATGTTAGGTAACTTATTTTCTAGTGTATAATCCTTCTCTTTGTTGCACTAGTGGTTCTTTGGTCAGCAAGGGGTCATGTGGAATGATCTTTTACTTGAATCTAAAATTTTGGAGGTAATCAATTATTAAAGCAACGCAAACTAGCGTATGAAGATGACTTGATAAACGCAACTCCACCAGCACATTATCACTTATTGATAAACCTGTAAATCTATTTTGTTTTCTAAAACAATTTATCGTAGGAAATACCAATTTAAATGGACAATATTTTGTAAAAAAGGTAAGTGAAAAAATCCACATGAGTTTGTTTACTGTTTTTAGTACTTGGTATTAGTTTACTTTCTCATCGATGCTCATAAGGAATCAAGTGAAATGCAAACCCTTAAGTTCCTGAACTTTGACACGAAAGCTCTAACCTGTTTAACAAAGCGGTGCTAATAAAGCCAGAGTAGTCATAATAATATTGTCTTTTCGTAGAGATAGTTGTTTAGTTGCCTGAGAAATGTGAGCAAGTGTAAAGTAGAGTACAAGTCGGCCAACAGCTTTTGAAGTAGAAGACTGGCGTTTGAAGTGCCCTGGAATTAATGGGCAAAACGTACTTCTTCAACGTGAACGCAATTTTAAATTTGTTCATAGTCAAACTGCAGGGCCAACGTCTTTCTAGAGTTTTCCTATGAACTATTTGCAATCTTTGCTATCTGAAACGCTGAAAATTAGATTTCGTAATACCTCAGTTAGTCAGGTTTTGATAAACCAAGAATTCTATAGTACGACAACCTTTATTTTGAAATAGTTTGACGATTTTCTTTTGTGAAAGAATCCTAGAGTCAATATAATTCGATGTTGAATATGAAGTGCTCAAACACACGCATAATCATAAAGTTAATGTTGTTATTTAATATAAGGTACTTCTCATATTATACAGTTTCTCAAGCATTCAGGGCGAATTGTTTGTTCTCGAAGACATGCATTGTGCTGCATTCTTCTCCACTTGCACGATAGACTTGATGGTCCCAACCAACCTCGTCAGTCATAGACACTACCTCCTTCGTGCCTCATGCAAGCAGTTTCAGAACCCTTTATTTTGAAACAGCTTTTAGACCCAAGGGTTGTTGATGACGGACGGGGTGGTTGATGACGGACGGGGTGGTTGATGACGGACGGGGTGGTTGATGACGGACGGGGTGGCTATTATGCCCTGAGTGGATGTTAAATAAATTGCCATGATTCTTTAACTCAAGCTTTTTCGATATTAATTTTCATTTTGTTTTAATAATTTTTCTTTGAAGGTTCAGTAAAGCATGTCAGGGTGATGCAACTGTATGATTTGGGCTGACTGTAAATGATGAATTGTAAATTAACCGTGCTGTGTATACTTCTTCTGATAAACCTGGTTTCCTCAACTCATAAGAGASGTTTGTCATAGTTTAATGAATTAAACTGAAATGAGGCAAGGGGCGTTGTAAAAGGCTACCTTGAGAAGAAAGGGCTGGACAAGATATGATATTAAATGATGGTCATAAAACCGTCAACCAGTTTTTAAAGAACGAATTCTATTTGGCAACTGGTGCAAAAAAATATAAATATATTATAACATCAATGATGCTAGCGCTGTCGCAACTGAACATGTTGTGAATGCTTCTTAATTCGAAAAAAAAAACCCAAAAACAACAAAAAAAAAAAAAANAAAAAAAAAAAAAAGAAACAAAAACGGATCATGATATCATCAATTTATAATTAGTGTTTCTAATTTTAAATCTTTTCTCAGGTTTTCACAAAAATAGCCATAAAGTAACAAACCGTCGTCAACAAATTTTTGGACAAAACAGCGGCAACCCACCGGTGCCACCCATTGGCAAAGAATTGCAAAATCAGCTCAGGGAGCAAGTCAATGAAGATTCAAGACTAGTTGAAGTTTCACCGACCAACGCAGACGCTCTGAATGGCTTTACTGGTGCAGGTATTGGTTTGCCCTTTGGGACACCTAATCGTAGAATTGACAAAAACCCACTCATTGGTGCTAATGGCTTGACAAAAAATTCCCTTGCGGACATCATGTTTGGAAACTTAAAAGGACTGGTTAAACCTAACAGTGGAAACCAAATGATGTCTTATAATGAGTTACAGTCAGATTCCATCCAAGGTGGAGACATGAGGCAAATGGTTGGGGGACAAATGGAAGAGATGAATAATGGAGGAACGAATGAGATGGGAAATATTTTAAGCAATGCTCAGCCTATGAATCTAAATGCCTTGTCTGCAATGAATAATCTTGCTGGATCTCAAGGTCTAAATGCATTTGGTGCACGACATGGAGCTTTGGGCAATATGATGAATGCTGGTAACATGAATAACGGAAACATGAACTTTGGTAACATGAATGGAGGAAGTTTGACATCCATGGGTATTAACGGCATGAACCCCAATTTACTCGGAAACCCAGCACTTGGCGTCAATAGTTTTGGGGGTCCATTGCAACCCAATCCTGCACTGGGTGTCCAAATGATGTCTCAGCTGAGTAACATGAACGAACAGCAAAACGATTGGCTAGGAAAACACCACAAGCGACATCACAAACACAAAAAACATCACAAAAAAACCACAACTAAACTTCTTTTGAAGTTACTGGTGGATAAACTACGAGACATTTACGAGCTGGATCAAATGAATGCAGTTAATAAGAAAATGGATTCCTCAACGGTTGGTAAAATTGGGTTGACGTTAGATGACTTGGGTGTCCCTAAAGGTGACGTACACCATGGGAAAGGGAACGAGACGGATTCTACTCTAGGTGGATTCAAAACTAAGCTTTCGTTTCCAGTAACAATMTCTGACAGCAAAGCGACAGAAGAATTGCATTTGACGGATGAAGCCAGTCGGAAGAACTTTGAAGGTAAAATTCCTGCAGACGACGATGATGCCAAGATACAAAAAATACTTTCCGGTCTAGKCATCAAAGAAGGAGTTGACACTGTAAAGAAAACAAATACCAACGATTCTGCTGATAACCTTTTGAAAGACATCCAAACAGCAACGGACCTAGACACCAAAGCTAAGGCAATCACCTCATCTTTTACTCCAGTAATCAAAGGTCAAGAAGTTCAGAATGAAAATGCAAAATCTAGAGACAACATTGAGGAAGTAAAGATGGATGACATGGGGAGTATATCAGAGTTTCACAAAATAAATATGAGTAATGATAATGGTGATGTAATCTCTCCTATTTCTGGTGTCAAATCAGATATTTCCCCTTCAGAGATCGCAAACTTCAGGGATCCACAGCAAGGAGAAGTCACAGCCCCTGAAATATTTTCGGTGTCTTCTTTATTGAACAATGGCATTGTAAACCAGCGAGAATCCACCTTTTTCAAAGATGTCACTGAAGAATCAGCTATTCATGACAAAAATTTGGAAATTCTGGGAATTGATGCGTCGAAGAAGACGGTGGCTTCTGGCTCATCAAACGAGAAGGTTCTCCCGTACGTTCCTTCTGATATAAACACTGATCAAGCAGATTTAAAAAGCCTTACTGACACGATGGCACATGATGTAAAGACAAAAGTTAAAGATGGAGAGGACTATGTGAAAGCTGCTAGAGTGCTTGGCGCTGTTTTCAAGAAAGTCAAAGATCCTGTTGCAAAACAAAGTATCGAAACCGCGATTAAAGCAATGTTAAAGGTTATGAAAAATGTAGCTAAAGAAAATAATAATTCTTCCAAAAAGCATCAGCTGCCATCGGATGATGATGAGAAACTTGTCGAACAACTTCAGCGACTCCATGGAGTTTTTAATAAGATGAAAGGAAGTATGCTAACAACGAATAAAGAAAAACGATCAAACCACATAAAAAAGGACAAAAACAGTCATATACGTTTGTTCAACGTAGTTCGGCATAAAAGTTTCCAATCAAAATTAAACAGAAAAATAACCTAATCAAAGCTGTAACGGATATTTTAAAGGCTATTTTGTTTGTATGAGCTAAATTATTTGCTTGTTAATTAAAAATGAATAAATAAACACATTTTCTTGTTCATTGCAAGCCTCATTATATGCCTAACATTTTCATAAATCGGCCTCTAACTAGGAATAAATAATGTATACTTCTGATCGCTTCATGCTAGACCATTCTTCCCCATATGCCACTCTATCTAAACCAATGACCAAGGTCCCTACTACAACCGAAACCCAAAACATTATGTCCAATATCTTCTTACGAAGATGTAGGGTCGCAGCATTGGTAGCACTGCAGTTATATTGGCTTGAAGATTGATTTAAAAATTAATCTCACCCATTTTATATTGAGGGCTTCATATCACTTGATTGAAGAAAACTTTTAAAATATTGAATCGCTTTAAAACAGACTGAAGTTATCGTTGCCCATGCATTATCGAATAAACGATATTCATCTCTTTTGATTCTAAATATATTAAATTATGCTCGTAGAAAACAACACTGCTAAATTCCGATTTACTGATAATAAATATTACTTCATTATGGTTTTGCAGTATATTTTCTTCCACCTTTCTCTATATTGTTGTGGTGTTGTACATGTATTTTTATATGTACATGTACTAGAGTTTAAATCTAATGTACTAGATCTTAACACATGGCAAACGAAACTCACTTCCATTTCTTGTGTTATAACCATGCTCGTTTAGCTTGACAGCGCCCTTGCGACAAGTTCTCCACCTCCCTCTCATTATTATCAATTGCACTATAAGCAGTAAACATGTAACGATGTAATTGGTCATCAGCTAGAGATGGCAGTAAACACGGTGAAATACAACAAGTACATTTTTAAAGTTGTGCTATACAACTGCATGCTATGTCTCAAGAAAGACTCAAGCGACTGCTGAAACGAAAGAAGAAAGGATGAAATTTTTTTTTTTCTTACTTCGAATGGCACATGGAGTCAGTTGGCCTAATCCAAGGTCCAATGTAAACTTTTCAGTGTGCCACATTTATAGTCACTAAACAATATAGAAAAAACTAAGCAAACTAGCTGTAGTTTTTGGTCACAAATTTAAATTGGCAAAGGAAAATGATATCCTTATATTGTTTTGAAGGAACAGTGCTTGAACAACACATAGGCAAACATAAGTGACGTCAGGCAAACCCAGATAAGGTCTTACTAGTTAATAGTTGATAAATTACGCAGCTCCGAAACTCCCTTGCTCTGTTATCAAAGTCATTTTGTTCGGACTCACTTTAAAATCTTTTGAAGATTGATAAATAACCTGTCAGTAAATTTATTGGCCAATTTATTGGTTGTGGTGTTTCCATTGACCATTGAGCAGGTCGTACTTATCGATATAACTGACAGCTGCTCTGAACTGTTGATCCGTAAAAACACTCACCTGCATAGAATATAACTTGGTTACAACTTGTTTTGTCAATGCACTGAAAATATATGTCTCAAACTGATAATAACACTTTTGCATGTTACTGTATTTTAGATTGCATTTGTTTTTCATTGTAAATAGGTAGTGACTTTAACAGAGCCCTTCCTAAAGTAGTCCTGTCAGCCCATTGATAAATCAAGGTGCATAACAAATAAGTTTCTTACATCATCGATAAGTAAGCAATCTTTCAATTCCTTCAATTCCAAACACGAAGTCTTTCTCGATCGAGAAAACATGAACTATTTTGCTATTCAAAGTGGTTCGGAATTTTCGTTTGTTTCATCGGTGTTGTAACTAGGAGAAACAATCACATGTAGAGGCCCACATTCAAGTAAGTCAATAAAGTCTTTTTTTATTCTAAGTTAAATATAGAGGTCTTATCTATTGAAAGTTTTAAAGATAGTAATATCAGATGTTAAATCGATAAAAACATCACACTCAATATACCCACATTCATTATGAAAGTAGCTTCATTTTTTTATCACCGTTTCTGGCAGCGTAAAATGAGTAAAAAAAMACTAGTTAAAGTCAATTGATATATTACAATTTGTATTACAGATAAAACTCCATACAAATGAAGACTTGGTTATTTTCTCTCCTTCTTTTAGTTCTTCTTTGTACTTGTATCAAAGGTAAGTCGATAAATGTAATTATTGAAGATACTGCGCTTTTGTAAATTTGTACAAATTGTATTCATTTTTAAATTCATTAAGGTTTGGAGATCAAGAATGGGAAAAGCAAGGCCAAGCAACATGAGCACAAGAACGAAACTTCTACTGAAAACGCCAAGCAAGCTGAGTTAAATAATAAATCAAAAATTCTGTCTATTGGACAATTTTCTTTAAAACTATCAACCAAGTCCAAACATACAAATGAACACAAAACTCCAAAACAAACGGAAAGAAAGTCAAGTGAAAAGGTTAAAAAATTGATGCACGAGCTGAGAAAGTGTATTAAAATAAAACATAAGCAGAAAGGCAAAACGTACGCTAAAAAAGCCATGATTTGGCCCAAGAAAATGTTGCCCACTCTTGAAAAGATGCTGCTTCATAAGATAAATGGAGGTGGTGTTGGACATTTTCCTGGAGATAACAATGGCGACAATGGATTCGAGAACTACGATAATCCTTCTGATAACTCTGATGAAAACCCCTTTTCTCCTACAACCTCAAGTACGTCAAGTTTTGGTAAAAACGATTTTTCTGACAATTGGGATAGTGTGAACCCTTCGCATCGTAAAGCAAAACTTCATGGAATGGACGTAGTGCCACTTTTAAAGATGCTCAAAGAAAAAGTTGGTGACACATCGTCTTTTGACTCCAATGCATTCACTGGGATGCCATCTAATCAAGGAGGAGGTAAATATCTAACCAAGTTATTGTTGAGTCAAGCTTTAGGTAAGCCTGATAAAGGTGACGTCATGAAAGACATGATGCAGGAGTTTTTCCTTGCCAATGGAAATGATAGAAACGGAGAAGAAGCACGTGAAGCTTTTAATGAACTTGTCGGACACAACAACCTAGTTGCACTCAACAGCCAAATGGAGGCAGAGAATTCTGATGTCAATGTTGGAGCCGGCACACAGGCACAAACAATTCCAAGTTTCGAATCTAGGGCAGGAGTTTTGCAAGCCCAGGAGCTACCGAATGGACAAATTGCTCCTTTAAATCAGCAAACAGTGGGTCAGAGGATGATGGCTAGCAGGCCTGCCATGCAAATGATGGTTGGGGCAGCCAATCCTACGACACGAATGTTGAATGACTTGCCAAATGCACAAAATGTACCAAATGTGCCAAATGTGCCAAATGTGCCAAGTATGCCAAACATGCCAAATGTACCAGACGTACCGCCAAATGTACCAAATGCGGTAAATGAGGACGTACAGAGACAGTTGTCGGCAAGAATTGAAGCAGAGCAGAATGCACAGTCAAGGCCAGTCCCTTTTGCAAAGAGCGACAGTCTTGTATTTGAAGCACAAGGAGAAAGCGCTGCAAGAGGGATCAGACCGCCTCCTTTCCAAGCTGCTGAAAGAGCCTATGAAGCAGAAAGAGTGATGAAACTTGGGGCCAACTACCAGTCATCCCCCATCCGTGATCCTCATAGATCTATTGTGAGTTCTGTACCACAAAGAGTTGAAATGGCAATGCGAGATGGGGAACAAAGTGTGATAGGAATGCAAGGTGAACGATTTGGCGATGAAGTGGCCGCATATTTCCCTAGTTATACTAAGCAGGAACTAGCTGCAAGACGAGATGCACTGCCTTCTAGTCATAAACATAAGACTACTAAATCTCCTATGCGATCCAAGGATTTACCGATACCAAACAAGACTAAAAGCAAGACATAAAAAAACTTAATTTCAGTCAGACATGGGCCTGATAAACATTGAAAATAGCGTATATACCTTTTGTAGTTTTAGCCGTCTCGAACACATTGTTTTCTACTAACGACTATAAAAAGAAAACGAAAATCCATTCATGAAATCTAAAAATAGTCAGTAAAATTGGATCAGGCTTAGCCATCTCATGGATCAAAAATACTGTTCCCTAATTACAAATTAAATGTACCACTTTAGTCTAATTATTTAATTACATGAACAAACTCAATCATTCTTTGCAATTGTAAGAATACCCATTGCGCATGCTTGCTAATCGATACGCCTTTTTCTCAAGCAGAGATGGTTTGTATATGATTGTGCAGCTTTCAGGTATATCCATCTTTTCTCATTTGTCCAAATGTTTTAAAATTATTTTGAATGGAAGGCTACGTTAACAGGAAAACGCATAAGAAATAATACTGTTTCTTTGGGAAATTGTAGATTTCATTTGTGTTCTTGCATCCCAGATCAATTTTGAAAGGGGTCTATCGGGGGTGTAGTTTGTACGAAAGCTCAAGGCATTATATACAAATCTTGTACCTTTTTGAGAAAAGACCTGGATAAAAGATTTTCTTATTTTGATAAATGATTGTATTGTTACCAAAATCAGCATAAGACATAAATAGCTGCTACATTACAACCTGTAATTAAATATTTGTTGTTGTTGTTGTCATGTAATTTAGGTAAACGGGTTAAATCTGTGCAAATTATCGACCCGTATCGTTGAATATCATTCTATTTATCGTTAGAGACGGGGTGAGGCCAAGTGGTTGACTTGCTCGGCTGAACTCATCATCAACTAATCGAAGCTGTGTTTGAAAGTTAAAATTACAAAGTTTCCCAAAACGCTATACGTTCAATTCGTACTAACTACACAAAACCAGCAAACCCTTTTGCTCTCAAATTCCATTTGTAATGTCACACTTTTAAGATTATAACTGTAATATTAGTTATCAGTTCGCTTTTAGGCACCGTTTACACGAAGCCGGATATTTTTTCATGCGGGTAAAAAAATGTGCGTTTACATGCGGCTTCGTGTAAACGCTCATCGTTATCGCATCGTTTTCGACCGTTTACCCGAAAACGCTCCATCGTCTCGAAGACGCTCATAGGAGCTAAATGAGCATGCACATAGTTCCTGAGCCTGCGATCTCCTTTGTTTAGTGACGTCAGTGTTTACGAAAGTATCCGGCTTCGAGTGTTAACACTGAAACGTATAGCAAGCGTTTTCAAAAAAATCCGCTTTGAAAAGCGTTTTCGAAAATAGCCGGCTAAAGAACGTCTCCGTGAAAACGGTAGGCCTAAACGGATAAAAAAATATGCGTTTACAAAAATATCCGGAGTTAGATAAAGTGCACTGGGCTGGTCCAAAGACAAAACCGACACGTCGGATTAATATTAATGAATATTCTGAGCTCACGAAATCGATATGCAAGTCTGATTTCGCAAGGAGTCAAGGACGAAAAATATAATAACGATAGAAAATATTAGGCTATATTACTCTTTAAAAGACATCCAAATTAATAGAAAGGACTTTATTCTTAAAGATTCACTTTTCGCCTGCTTGGTATTGAAAACGTTAAACGAAGGTAAGTAGGTGCAAAATCAACGATACATCTAACGGCTTTTAAAGCCTTATGGTAAATAGAATAATATCAAATATTGTAAATGGTTTATATAAACTTACATGCAGTATTAAAGTTGAATAGTCACGATTTGTTTACTCATGAGTATCTGGGTTGCTTTTTCAATTTGTTTTACTTGCCAGGAAAGAGAGTAGATACCCACAAAACATGTTCCAATAAAAAATCAGCCATGAAACTCAAAAATGTCGTATTGTCTCTAAAACTCATAATAAACTTGCTAGTCCTTAGACCAATATTAGTCTTCTTAGTTTTATAAAAGTATTGCTTGTTTTGCACAGCAGATATCTAATCACAATTTTGATCCAAGCCCCTTTAAAAATCTCCGTCATAAGCTTTGCAACTTCAGAAAAGAAAACGCTGAAAATGCTGAGAAGAATCCAACGTAATGGCAATTTTTCTTAATGTGACAGAAGTTAAACTTAAATTTTAAATCAAATACTCTCACGAAATTTAATCTTTATAACTTTTGCGTGCATCTAACTTGTAGACATTTCCTTTTGGCTTCTTGTTTCTTCAGACATCACTATGAATGGAGCAAGGATGCTATTGCTATTTTGTTTAGTCATATCGACAGGTAAGGTCAATCCGTTCTAGCTATTAAATTGAAATTTATTAAAACAAGTCTTCTATCAATTCACGATAAATTGGGATCCATTCAAAAACTAGAAGCGTTTCTAGTTATTGCATTACGTTTCTACAACTGATTGCGGTTGAAAGCTTGTAAATTTTAAAAATAGTCTAAAGCCTGAAAGAAAAAAAAAGATCAATGTTTATGATGAATAGTGAGTAGTGGTTACAACGTGTGTGAGCTCAGTCAAAGAGAAAAGGATTGAAGTCATCTGAAAGGTTCCAACATCAGTGAGCGTCTAACATTTACTAAGCAAAGTGTCCCAATAACACTGCACATTTTCCACTTTGTAATTCAGAGATTTATTCAGGGTTTTTTTTTTCCATTTCCTACAGCAGTTAACATCATATATCGAATATTAAAAAAACGTTAACGTTTATTTCAGGTGGCTTACCTGCTTTGACGGATGCACGTCCAGGCACTAACCGTAACTATGGTATTATGGGACCAACTGGTGAAGAAGACAGCGAAAAATGGGCAAAGGAAAAAGACAATGCATTTAAAAAAGCAGAAAACGATTGGCTGCAACGAAGATTTAGTCGTAGCGAAAGCGGTAGTAAAGCAGAAGAAAGCGAATCAGGAAGTAACAGCTATAAACCCCAAACACCCTTTCAAATGTTGAAGAGTCGATTAAGCAGTTCAGATATCAAACAGGGCCACAAGAAGAACATGGGTCATGGTGTACATTCATATTCACAGATTAACACCACTGGAATCATCGATCAAGCAGTTGCTGAAACTATTAAAGAAAATACAACTGAACCTCCGCCAATGCCACCTACGATGGCCAAGACGACCAGCCCGATTGTGCCTTACCTGCAAGGTGAATCAGACAGTCAAAAAAAAAAAAAAAAAAAAAAAAAAAAAAAAAAAAGCCTACGAAGAACCTACGAAGCAGAACAATTGAAGAAATTTGGCGCCAACGCAAGGCCATTCCTCCTCGATCCATGACCCTTAGGGGCCCATTATAGCAAATAGCATTGCAAAATGGAGAAGTTAATGCGATAGGAATAAACATACGACAACTAAGGATCCCATGCGATCCAAGGATTTAACAAAATATCCAAAAGTAAAACATGAAGACCTCATGAAAAACGTTTTAGTCTGGCAAGTTTGATGAACATTAGACTAAATAGTGTAATAGGTTTGTATTAGTATTAGCCAGTTTCTCATTATAGATTGAACGCATTATTGTCTACTTTATAACGAATCCAAAATCCATTAATTAAATCCAAATATAGTACAGTAAAATTGAGGAAAAAAGAGGTGTCCCCTTATCTTGAGCGGTTACTGAACTGAGACTGACACAAAACGTGTCAGTTTTCGGACTGCTTTACGGTGCATTTGCTGCCACACAGTTTACAGTCAATCATGAGTAAGGTTAGTGGTGTGCTTCCAAGACCAGACCGTCCGTTGAACCAGCCTACAACACTCTTGCAAACAGATATAATATGCAGACATTATCACCTTTGCCTCGGCTGATAATGCCCTAGCATTAGAAGTGGCCGGAAAAAGAACATGTGTGAAAGCATATGTGACATTTTGAGGTCCAATCCTCCATCAAAGGATATGTTATCAGTCGACATTACAGTGAGACAGTCTTTTTATGTCACTTCCACCCCTGTTGATGTACAAAAAGTATCTTTGCTTTCCATTTCTTCCTTCCTATTTTACGTTCCGTTACCTTTTCTCTGAATGGATGTAAGAGTGTTCGTCCACACATGGAAGAAATTAGGACGAGGTTTTTGATGTCTTGCTTTTTCCTTGATTTCCTTGTAAATGCATTAATGCTTTGGCTAATTCAGTTAAAGAACAGCAATTAAAAATTGCTGTTAAAGAACAGCCTTCCCAACTCCCCAAAAARAAACCAGGAAAAAAAAAAAAGGATAAAAGTACAACGTACAGCCGTCTTTCCAAGTTTAGAGCGGATGGGCTAGCATTATTTTATTCAATGAAAGCGAAGGCTGAGTAAGAATATTATTAAAACGAAACAATTTAAGTGTTATTGGTAAAGCAGAGCAAGCTACTATCAAAGATACATTAGATTTTAGAACAAAGCCCATCGTTTTGCATTACGGCTAACCTTGACGCAAATGGCGAAAATTGATATTGATTTACCAGACGTCCCAGTGATTTCGGGAAACGGCTAGCTGAGAGATTGAAAACTATTTGGCATCAGCCTTAGAAAACTGAAGACCGAACACAAAAACTTTAAATTTATGTGATTAAAAGCAGGTGAGGCCATGTGCTTCACTTGCTCGACTGAACTCAAATTAAGTGATGGTTCATCGAAGCTGAGCAGTGTCATTTTAAAATGACAAATCTAACCATTGAAACATTTTAAATGAAAGTAAAATAATAAACATCAGCTTAATTAAAGAAACTTCCTTTAACGCCTACCCATACAAATCCAAAATGGTTTCTTACAGCTTCGTCCATTCATTTTATTTGTCTTCACACCTTTAATATTGTAAATGTAGTCTTGGTTATCAGTTCGCTTGTAGATAAAGTGCACTCGGTCCTAGTTAAAACCAATAAGTCTGATTAATATTAATGAGTATTTAATTGATCGTTGAATGCTCTGAGCTCATGAAATCGATATGCAGGTCGGATTTTGTCAGGAGTGAAGGACAAAAATAAAATGGCGATATCAAATTTATCACAAAATTCTCCTTAAGAGACATCCAAATGAATAGAAAGTGGTGTAATCTTGAAGATTTTTCGTCTGTTTGGTGTTAAAAACGTTAGAGCTAAGGTAAGTAACTCTACAGGTCGAAAATCAAAAGTAAATGATCTCACTTCAGGTCCTTAGCTTTCTAGGTCATAAAAAAACAACACGATTTTGTATATGTACTCTTTTTTGTTTTGTTTTGTATATATATTTCATGCTTRTTTTTGTGCTGAATTTTCGCTTTATTTAGATTTCTTTTAGTTTGCTTCTATCTGTGCAAGTGTATCACAATCATAAAGGACAAATAACGTGTAATTTTGATATTGAAATGAATTTCACGACGGATGATTTTTCCCCCGTAACTAGTCAGTTGGCAACTGCCGTCAGTACAAATAAAAAAAGAATCCATTTAATTCCTCTAAACTTATCCCTATTTTCTCATAAAAGCTATACAACAATATGCACTATTTTCTGTTGCCTAAATTGTTTAAATTGTGATATATGATATTTTTAAAGAAAATTGAATATACAATCACGATATACAATATTGTGATCAGCGTTAGTATATAGATTTACACAAACTAAAGCCTACTTAATTTTATAAACAGATACTTCAGTCACACTTTTTTGTCTTCCCGTTTTTCCTGTCAGCGCAATGGATGGAGCAAGGATACTGTTGTTTTTTTCTTTAGCGATCATGTCAGCAGGTGAGGTCAATCTTGATGGCTACGTCAAATAAATTTCATTTGAAGGTCTTTTAGCATGTCACGATAAATAATCGGGTAGGATAAATAACTGAATTAGAGGCGTTTTTACGATCATCAATCAAAAGGTATTTAAAATTTCTGTCATAGATGAGATGCGGAAAGGATTGCAGAAGTATGAAGTCAACGTCGATTTTCCACATTTGATTTGAATTTTTTTCATATATAGTTTTCTTGTGTATATATATCTCCAAAAGTAAAAAAGAAAATGTGCTTGTTTCCAGACCAGATAACAAGAGAAGGCTTACCTGCTTTAACAAATGGCCATCCAGGCACTAACCGTGGCTATGGTATTATGGGAACAACTGATGAAGAAGACAGCGAAAAGTGGGCAAAGGAACAAGATAAGGCATTTAAGAAGCTGGAAAAGAATTGGTTTCAACGAAGGTTTAGTGGTGGTGGAAGCGGTAGTGGAGCTGAAGAAAGCGGATCAGGAAGTAACAGCAATAAACGCAAGAAACCCATTCAAATGTTAATAAGCCGATTACGCAGTTCAGATATCAAGCTTGGCCACAAGAGGCAGATGGGTTACGATGTACAGTCTTATTCAAACACAGATGCTAACAGAATCATTAAACAAGCAGTAAATGAAACTATTCAAGAAAATACGACTGAACCTCCGCCAATGCCACCTACAATGCCCAAGACAACCAGCCCAGTTGAGCCTTACACGTATCTCCCACCCAATATTACTGTTCCTCCCTCTAAGGTGACTGTGAATGAGGTTTCAGAAACTACTACGGTTCAAGGATCAGGTACAGCCTCTTCTAGTGTCAATGTTAAAGGTGTCGGAGGCCAGGAAATGTCCATCAAAACATCCCAAAAGGGTCCAAATGGAGATGGAGCAAATAACACATACAGTGCTAATGGGCCAAAACCAGGAATGCCAGTTTCTTTACACGTAGGTAATAACTTGTCAAGTATTGATATTGTGGATATGAAAACAACTCCATCAAAAGCTATTAATCAACCAAGTTCTTATGGATATTACCCGGAATACAGTGACGCCCAAGTGCAGGAACCACATTCTCAAGCTTTAATTACCACCGTATCTGGCTTGGTTCGAACTGCTCAAACTCAACCGACAGTTACACCTCTTACGCCTGTTACAAATAACAATACTACAAGCTTTCCTTATAGCTACAATAATCAAAACCAAATGGAGACATCGACTGAGAATAGCCAACCGGCAGAGACATCTACGGCTGGCAGCAGCTATCAAGTAAAAGGTTATGCAAGTAATTTGTCAAATTATACATCAACAAATATGAATCCTTCCACAGCCATGGCAACTTCTGAAGGAGCCAACAATGAAAATTCCACTTATAATCAACCTTCTGTTATAGCCGAAACTACTACTAATTATTATTTAGGCGGAGTGCAAATACAAAACCAATCGTCTACACTTGGACAACAGTCGCAAGCACAGCAAGGCAGCTTGCCAACGAGGAGTACTTTCCCATGGCAAAATGTAACTCTGCCTCTTGCTCAAGGTCAAAATCCCAATCCTAGTATTTCGCCTACTCAAAGAGCCGATTTAACCCGTGGGATTCAAAACTCTAACTCAGTGCCGTTTGAGATTCAAAAGACGGAAAGCCAGACGCCATATATGTCGGTTCAATTCCAGACTGAAGTGGCTAACCCAACTAAGTCCCAAGGACTCAACATCCGACCCATACACATTGGTCGGCTTGTGACTCATGACAAAGATGGAGGATTAGTAATTAGCAGTAGTAGTACTTACGAAATTGGAAGAAATGTATTTGACGCTGGTTCTTCTTACCATGGAAGCACTACTTTAAATAATGCTGGAAGCATTCAAAATACGCAACAACAACCAAGTGCCACAAATACATTTTTGAACACCACTACTAATATAAGCAGTCCAACAAACAAACCCAACTCAGCAGGAACATGGGGGTATTTTAACCAGCAAAACCAAAGGGCCAGCCCAACTATCTTTGTCACTCCACCAAAGGATACCTCTCCAACGCCAACTAGCTGGTTGCCCACCTATTCATTATTGAAAAGTATGAAAACAGGAGCACTTGCTTCACAGCCAGACCAGGCGACCGCAGAAGCTTCAATAAACATAACTGAGATATTATTTCCAAAGGACGATCACAAAGGATTGCCTGTAATGGTGATGCAGTCGCCTTCTAGAGAAAACAACCCAACAGTTAAGCCTTCTCCGATCCCACTCATAGACAAAGGTATCTCACAAGCAAAAATGAATGAATCAAATTTGGGTCAATTTCAGTTTCAAAATGTGGGCCCAACTCAAGGTCAAGCAAATGGTTCAACTCAAATATTAACTCAGGGCCAAACTCAAGGTTCAATGAATGGTCCAACTCAAATATTAAACAAGGGCCAAACTCAAGGTCCAACCAATGGTCCAACTCAAATATTAACCCAGGGCCAAACTCATGGTCCAACAATGGGTCCAACTCAGAAATCAACTCAAAGCCCAACTCAAGGCCCAACAAAAGTTATAACACTGAAATTAACTCAAGGTCCGACTCAAGGTCCAGTTCCGACTTCTGGAGTTTCAACGTCAATGTTCTCACTTGGATCAAACCCAACAGTGGTTGGTACCGTGAATCCAACGGCTGGAATAAGTACTGTTACAAGTAAGTTACCAACAGCTGAAAGCAGCGCTTCTTTATTGGCGGGCGAAGAAAAGGCAGCTGGCAACACGACTTACCTTATCCCCAGTATAGAAGAAAGTGGAACCATTTCCTTGCCAGGAAGTCAGACTGATGAGCTAACTGCAAAGGAAATGGAAAACATGATGCATGTAGAAGATATCGAAGACACATTGTTTGGAAACAAAGATAGTATGTCCAATGAGCTCCCAAAAAATGAGGTAAGCCCTGGTGGTGAAAAAGAAGAGAGTGCGACACCGCAAAAGCCAATCCAGGCACTAATTTCTGAAGTACCAACTGCAGACCCATATAAAGGTGTAAAAGATGCTTTGCTCTCAGTAGACATTGCTCAACTGAAACCTGGAGAGCTTCTTAGCCTCCGGCTTCCAAACAGTCAAACAAGCGATATATTCCAAGTCAAGGACATTAAGTCAAATGATGATGTGTCAGCTTATTCGAGTGATCTTGATAATGACCACGAGAAGTCGCTTGACAAAAAGCACATTCTATATGCCATCATAGAAAAAGTAAAACATAATAAGGATTATCGAAATGCAATGAAAGCTATATTTTCGACAGGTGATAGAAGATCATGGAAAAGCTCAAAGAAATCAGGATCTGTTGTCAGAGGAAAGTTAAAAACGATTGCACTACCTCAGAGGGCCATCCTTAGAAGTTATTCCAAAAATCAATTAGATAAAAAGAACGAAGAAAAATTTGCAAAACTTGTCCAGGAAAATATTGGGTTAATGAATGTAGCTGGTTCACATTTTTCTAAAGAAATGAAAAATCCTGATATTGAATTTGATCAAGTTCATCATGTCGTAGAAAAGTACGTTAAGAAAGACAGCAATGATGCAAATAAGTTGCGCCTTAAGTTGATGTCAGTAGGAGCAAAGATGCATCGTCTACAACGGAAATCAAGTATCAGAGGCTCTAAGAGGTCTGGCCTTCGTGGTCATCGCCATTATAATAAGAAAAAGTCAAGTGATGAAAAAGGTTATAAGAAAACAGAAGGAACTTTTGAAGTGACGTTGAACGTCTCTGGTAAGAAGAAGAAGCCAAGTGAAGAAAAAACCAAAGAAGACGATAAATCAGAAAAAACAGCCAATAAACTTAAACCCGGAAGCAAGCTAAAATTCATGGGAACTTTTACGGACCAGAAAAAAGAAAATGGAGAAGAAGACAAAGTGAAAAAGATATCATCTTTACGAACAGAGCAAACTTCACAGGGATTGCAGCCTAACAGACAGCCAGGAAACGTAATTATTGAGGACGAAAAGGGTAATGTATTGTACAAGGGCCCAGTTGACATAGCGGCTCTTAACCAAACTGTTACCAAAAATGGAGGAAATGACACTGGCTTTCAACTACAAAATGTAGGCTACAGAGTAGACCCATCAGCAAATTCTGAAGAAAATGTCGTTCTTAAGCAAGGTTTGCAGCAAGTGATACCGAAGAAAAGAAGCAGAGGGTTACTCCATCGTCGCCATCGTCTTGACATACATAACAACCATTTAAGACGAAGATACTCTAGGTCTATAGAAATAAAAAAGGATGTTATAGCAACAAAAAAGACTGATGGAACTTTTAAGCTGACTCTTGCGGTATCTGGTAAGACAAAAGAAGCAGCAAATGCAGAAACAAATAAAGAAGGAAAAGATGACGTGAACATTAATGACGCTAGGCATCAATTATTTCACGATGAGAAAGAGCTAACGTTCAGCGGCACGTTTACTGATGGCAAAGATTCGAAAGACGAAAACGGGAATGAGAAGAAAAAAGAGAAAGAGAATGGGGAGGAACACGAAGAGCATAAGAAAGAAAATAAGAAAGAGAAAAAAATAAAAAAGGGAGAAAGAGAAGAGGAGGAAGAAGCAGAAGAAAAAGAAGAAGAAGAGAACGAAGAAGATAAAAAGAAAAAGAAGAAAAGAAAGAAGGGGAAGAAAGAAGAAGAAAAGAAGAAAGAAGAAGAAAACGAGGAAGAGAAAGAAGAGGAAGAAGAGAAAGAAGAGAAGGAGGAGAAACAAGGGAAAAAGAAAAAGACAGAGGAAGAAGAAGAAGAGCAGCAAAGCAAGGAAAAGAAAAAAGCAGAAAATGAACAGAAATCTTCAGAAAAAGAATTTTCAAATAAAAACGGTCAAGGTAACACTACATCAATGTCACAACCAAAAGTAAATGCAACAAATGTGATAATAGAAGATGGAAAAGGGAATATTCTTTATAAAGGACCAGTCGATATTGCTGCATTAAATAAAACTGTGTCGACTAAAAATGGAACATATTCAGGATTCCACTTGGAAACTGCAGGCTATAAAATCGAAGAATCAACAGATCCTCAGGAAGTGGAACTCCTAAACGATGGTTTACAGCATGCCATACAACCAAGTGGTACAGGTACAGATCCTCAGGAATTGAAGCTCCTAAACGATGGTTTACAGCATGCCATACAACCAAGTGGTACAGGCAGCCCGTTGCAGTTTCTTGAACCTAAAAGAAAGAGAAGGTCCTTACTTGATGATACTCAGCCTTCAAAGAAAACAGATGGGACTTTTACTTTAACTCTTGCATTAAAAGATGACAAGAAAAAGAAGAAAGAAAACGAGGAGCAAAGGAAGGAAAATAAAGAAAAAGAGGATCAGCAAGATAAGGAAAGAAAGCCAAATGAAGATGGATATTACTCTGATTTTCCACAAAAGAACGACAACGACAACTATAACAAGGAAACTGCAAGTGGGCTGGAAAAATTAAGAAATGTTGAAGACGGTAAAACTGAATCGGAAAAAGCAAAAACGGTATCACCACATGTGATAATTGAAGATGAACATGGGAAACCTTTATACCAAGGTCCGGTCGATATATCTGCTCTTAACAAATCTGTTGCATCAAAGGGAGGATCGTTAGGGTACGAGCTACAGAAAGCAGGTTACCAACTTATAAAAGAGCCTAATCAAGAGCAACCTGTTAGTCAGAGCGAGACAACGAGCAGCCAAAATGATGTTGTCATCCAGGAAGCCTCTGAGCATCCAAATAATTCTCCCAACTCTGCAAGTGTATACCAAACAAAACAGCAGTCAGATAATAGTGACACCAATGTCATCAATATTTCTAGCAGTAATGGTGATGTATTGTCAGGCAATCAGGATGATCAAAGGGTTTCAGTTGATGTAACAAATGATGATGGAAGCCAAGACCACAGCATGTCTGCTGTAGGTAACGAACAGCAGTTATTGAAAGTTTTGCAAATAGCATCAAATATCAAGCCTTCTGATATTTCCAGCAATAAAAAGGAGCAGGAGGATGGTACCAAAACCCTTTTTAATGCGTTGCCAACGTTAAATAAAGAGATTGATCAAAAACCAAGCAAATCAAAATTCAACCCTTTGCCCGCGTTTAATGATAAAGAATATGCCCAGCAACAATCAGTCAGTGATGGTAAAATAAAATTTGTGCAAGATCAAATGGATAAGAAAAAATATCGCGAAGATAAAGCAAAAGTAAAAAGTTCGGACCACAAAATCAAAAATCAGGAACAAAATGGTTCAGATCAACGGAAGAATCCTGTTACAGCATCCACCTCCTTCGTAGATACGACTAACAGTAAACTTCTTCATATATATACACCAAAGCCCGAATTGTCCTCAAAGAATCGCAATTTGGAGGGAAATTCGAAGCAAAATGATCAAAGTGCGCCAGAGAAAATTCCAAGTGACGAAATGCCTCATGATGAAAAAAATAGTCAAAGTAACAAATCCTTAGGAAGTGCAGCAAAGGCGCAAAACGATGTGGAATTGAAAAATAAAGAGAACAGTTACAATGTGTTAATGACTGACGCTCAAAATGGTGCATCTTCTATTGGAGGAAAAATACTGCAGTCAGCTACCGTTATAGATGAACACAAAGATCGGAATCAAAACGAAGGCTTGTCTAAAGAAAACCCAATGGCAAATACTATTCCTAATGATGGTCAAGGAGATGTTTCTGACAGCAGTTCTTTGAACAAAGAAAATGATCCAAATCAAAATGGACAAATAAACCCAAAGAATGTAGCGTTTCTAGCTCAAAATATACCTGCAAATGTTCAAGTGAATGAAGCAGGTATAAAGACTCCAGCATCTCAAATGTCCCTTATAGGACAAGACATCAACAATAATGGCAAACACTTTCCAAAGAAATACCAAGTTTTAAAGCTAACGAGAAACAAGCTAAAAGAACTGCTTGCAAGTAGTGCAAACACTGCAAATGTTGCGAACACTGTAAACATTGCAAACAAAGAAAAAGAACAACAGCAAATCCCTGTTGCTGCAGCTATGCAAGACAATCCGAAAGTTGACAATAAAGATGAGTTTAAAGGGCCAAACAATGGCATGGAGCAGCCCATAACTCTCATTCTTTCAGGTCCGTATCTCGACCAATTAGAACCGAGGAACGATAGCGCTAGCCCACCAACAAATGCTTTGGCAAACGATCAATTAAATAGTGGAAGTCAGGCACGTCAAAATCAAGTCAATATGACGCAAACAAATGTGAAGAATGTAAATGCTTGGCTAAATAATCCAGAAGGCAAGAACATTTCCAGTATGTTGCCAAACGAGATGTTTGGAAATGATGACGACAAAATATTGATTGGAGGAGGAGGGAAAACTGTTAGACCAGCAGCAGCAGCCGAAGGTGCGTTCAAAAGTCAAGAAGCTGCCTCAGGATTGAATGTACTGTTAAAAACCCCGGAAGTTCAAAACCCTGCCTTTTTGGTACAAAGCAAAAATACATCCCCTTTAAAGATTTCGCCAATAAATCGTTTAGGAGTGGAAGCCATGCCAACGATATCCGTCCTAAGTGGTTCTGGACAAAGAGTTGACTGCCATGCATTACCTGCTGGGAGCTCTTTAACACTGTTGAGATGTGGACCAAATGGTCAACGCATAGTTGGTCCAACAGTATCAACAATTTCAAAGGCTCAGGTAGCAAGTATGTTGAACCTCCAAATGAACGATATGCCTCCACAGAACCCTGTACCACAACATCGGTTAACAGAGCCAGATGTTGTACAGAATCTAATGGGAGCACCTGAAATACGGATGAATGACGAGCCTCTATCAAATAACCAACGCGAACCAAAGAAACAGGAATATGGATACGGCACGGTAACAGACCCTACCCTCTACCACAAAATGAGCACAGACATAAGAGATTATCTAGATAAAGAAATTGATGATGAAAAGAATATGATTCAAAACCTTCTTGTGGGAAGTAGTTCACCGAGGGCTTCGCTTCCATCTCAAAATAACGACGACACAGATGATAGTCTTCCCTTTGGGTTCGCATACATTCCCGGTGCATCTGAAAGCAGCTTGTACAACACAGAAGTAAAAAACCAACAAATGTATCAGGGATTCCCGAATGAGTATATAAACACCTTGTCAAATGTAGGTACCTCAAGGTTGCCCCATAAGATGTTTCGATCAAGATCAAGACATAGAAATACCAGGAGATCCCAAATTAAAAAAGCAAATAGAAAACTAGGCCCTTGGAAACGTCGAAAATCGAGCAGAAGCAGAAAAAAATCTCGTGAACACCCTGTGAGACACTGGAGTTTTGGAGGGATGTTTCCGCCTACTTTGCCTTTACTTATACGTCCGCTTTATCCACAACCATGGTTGTTGACGAAGAGATGTTGCAATGATAACAAAAACAATCGTAAATGTTCTAAAACTTTATCATCGCTATCGAAAATCGAGAATTTGCCAACACCGGCCCCTGCCAGCATGAGTGTGTGGGAGTATCTTGGTCGAGTGCTGTGTAGCTGTCCCTGTTGTATAGAATGTTATGACTGGTGAAAAACTTAAGTTAGGCCATTACTTTTCTAGAAAAAATGAAGAAGAACAGGCTCTGCGCAGCCATTCTTACTTTGAAAATAAGTAAGTCGACTTATAAGAACATGCATGTCGGAACAATTTTTGTAGAAGAAAATAGGAAATAGGTTATCGTAATAGATGATCAGACGCTTCTCGCAGTTTTCCATGACACGACGTTTGAGAATCATGCGTAAATGACAAGTAAAATGTACAGCTGCATTGCTGTCTCAAACGTTGGCTCAGTTGTGGGAATTTACATTGGTAGACGAGCTTGAAATAATAATAGAAATATTGAATAATGATTATTAATGCCACCGCCAACTGAAATGTCCAACTCTGTTTGAAAGTGGTAGGGTTTTCCATATATGTTTTATGTATGATATATTCTAATTGCTTGATAGTAAGTGTTTATTTATAATTAGTAAGGCAATTGCAGCAAGAATCGTGGCTTGAAATAAATACATTGATTGTGTTGTTGCACATTAACCTATTTAGTACACAGATCAATTATGCATATACTAATATTTATAAGAAAATACGAATACAACACATTGAAACAATTACTATATTTGGCTATTATAAAATTCCTATTTAACAAATTTTACAAAATCAATCAAGTTAGTTAGACGATCAAAATTCTTAATTTGTAAAGCAAGTGAGACTAGCTATAATTACGAATTTAAACTGAATTAAATTAAGTACGTACTGTTGAATAATAATAAGGAGTATACACTTCAGAACATACAACGTAGAAGCTGGGACACAAAGTTATAATAGATTCTGGGAAATCACGTACATAATTATCCTCTAATCTGTTCGTCTGAGAAACACAGAAGATATGAAACATGTGTTAAGGCCTCCATGCTTTCCGTCAGTGCAACCAATGATAAGCATTTCACATGTTGTATTTCTAGGTACATCTAATTAACGTACTTTATTTTGGTCTCAGCTTCTATGTTCTGCGTTTTTGAGTGATTTTGCTGCTAAGTTTATACTGTTTATAAGCATGAAACTATTAGTAGCATGATCAGGATCTCATCATTACTCTTGACTAACGTTAAGTGTTGTAGATGAATAAAGTACGTTTATCAATTTTGTACATCAAATAAAAGAATAATTGTGTACGCTCACAATGTTGTAGTGACAAGTCAGTTTGGGGTTTGCTTGATTTTTTCTTCACTGTTAACATCCCTTATTTGGATTCAAAAAGCAGCAGTAATAACAGCACGGGACGCGAGACAGGGTTTGGGATTTGGAGGTTGGCGTTGACACACGCACATATTTAGAGGGGGTGTTTTAATAAAGCTAAGCTGTAGCATCGTATAACGTGTTGTTGACCCTGGGTTTTAAAAATGTTGAGATTTGATGAAATTGCGGGAAAATAGGTAAGGGTGGGTGGAGATGCAGTAAGATGTCGCATCATGTCTTGTCGTTGGTCACACACCGAATCGAAACCATTGTCACGGAGTTACTGGACTCTCTTACATGTGAAAACTCTTTTGGTTTCCATGTATACTGGCACGAGGCTAGTCAGTGCAGAACAATATATTTTCGAATTGGTCGCTATAGTTTGATACTATGTGTGGACAAAAGAATTGAATATATTTTTCATCGTGGAAACATTAACAAATGATACTTATTCATGAATGGTAAATGAAATGGTGTTACTGTTATATACCGCTCGTCGGGTCATCGCTTTGCACTGTAGTGAATGAATGGTTGTTGATGCATGGGTTTTATAAAATATAAGGTGGGATGGGATTGTGGTAAAATAGATAAGGTTGAGGGTCGAGAGATGAAGGGAGATGTTGCGCCATGTCTTGTTGTTGGTCATGGGGTTTAAAAATAGTGAGATGTGATGAGAGCTCGGGAAAGAGAGGTAGTGAGTTGGAAGTGAGCGCTGGAGGAAAATATAATAATAAGATGGTTGGGAGTGACTGTTAGTTCTTATTAAATATCCTAGGTCGGTTTTCTTTCAACTTTAACTGCACAACGCACGCCTTTGGCTCCAGTATATATAGGTAAGCGTGTTGCTACTATGTTTACTGCAGTAAAATGGGAATCGATCCACTTGCCAAAGCCAGATATATTGTTTATTTTTAAAATACTCTAAAATTGCGGTTCCGGCAATATCGGGAAATATATTATTTTTGCCGGTCCTGTGGAATGCTGGTCTCAACCGATCTAGTCTAACTGAATTTTTCTTAAAGAATAAACTAGGCTAGATAAACGCATTTATTACCAAGCGTTAGCGTTTTGACAATATATATATATATTTCATTTGGCCAACTTAAAAAAATCTGCGGATGTAAAATGTTTTAGGCGCAAGAAAATCACTCTTTTGGTGTAAGCCACTGAAGGGTTACCAGCATTCCCAAGAGAGTCAAAAGACAAAAACATGGCGGTCATTTTGGTGCCGTTACAATGGATACTAATGAGAAATCTTTTGTTAAATGACACCAATATGGCCGAGATGACGTAACGTGCAATCGAAAAATTGATTGTCCATATGAGCTGAAGCATAAGTAATGGAAATAAGTATGGATAATGAGGAAGAATCCAATACCACTTTCTGGTATATATGGTCAGCTGTAAACCATAAATGATGGTTTTAAAAAAAAAGAGGAAGACTGCATGGCAAAATACATCGATCATAACCGACAATAGAACGATCATCTAAGCATAGCGACCTCTTCTGGTGTTTCTGTCATCTTACCCGCAGAACGAACAATGTCCCTTATCACTTCTTGGTGACATTACATCACTAGAACTACTAGAACCACGTGACTAAATCTTACAACAGACGAAGACACAACAAAATGGAGGTAAAATATATTGAATCAAAATACTTTCAAATATTAGGTGAAATAGTTTACAGTTACTTTAGTTTGGTACTTTATATATATCAGACGAATTCTTGATTCCTCGAATTAAAGCCTTTGTTAACTATTGTACCACAGTTTTGAATTCTTTTTTTTTTTATTTATTTTATCATTCATTAAAAAAAAACAATATATTTTTAAAAAATCTAACGAAGGAATAAGAAGATTAAAAAAAAAAAAAAAACGTTTTTGAGTTTCGTATTGTTTGGTTTTCTTGCAGATGTATTTATCTTGATGAGCTTTTGCGTTAGATGTGATGAGTCGTGATTCTTAACTCAACCATGGCAACATTTACATGGATCCTACTGATGCTGTTTGCTCAACAGACTTACTGTCACTCGACAGGCAAACGTATGTAGAAACATTTTTGATGAAATGTTCTGATAACTGAACCCTTTGAATATACTGGACAGAAAATGTATAAGAATACTTTATCGTAAATTTTTCCTTATGCTTAACTCAGTTCCCTATTAAATTGAATCTGTCGGGATCTGGTAATGATCGATTTTGTACACTGCTTTAGCTGTCGCCAAATGAATATTTTTACTGATACGGCAGCCATCTTGAATTATGGGATGTCGTTGGCAAACGTAAAAATATTATAAAGCATAGATTGGCCGGGTTGCGTTTTCAAATAATTCGAAGTCTGGGTGTTTCGCATATTTTTCCAACTACCAGCAAATTCAATTGCATTTTAGATATGCTTCACATTTCCCTGACTTATGCACACAGTGCTGTAACCTCATACTATCCATATATCTTTCAATAATGTAAACGTATCAGTGTGCAAAGGATCACCAGGCTCACTAGATCAATTCATTAACTTTTCTTTTGTCAGTTGTTTGTTTACCCGAGTGACGGTGACAACAGAACTTTTGCATGATCATGTGCAGAAAAATAAAATTCCTTATTATTGTAGATTTGAATGATTTTCCTTGCGAAAGAGAAAACAATCAGTGTGTTATCTTTCTATTTAACATGACTGCCGAAATATTCGGGAAGGATTGGCTGCATTGGATGGTGATCCAAGACCATCTTGATACGCTTGTACATATGGGTCTAATTGATATAAATAGGCGCTTTCCTCCAAATAAAGTAAGCCTGCAAAAAGAATACACACAAAAACGTTTGAAGTTGATTTAAATAGACAAAAGCTATTTCGTCCAATGTGGGGCTCGAACCCACGACCCTGGGATTAAGAGTCCCATGCTCTACCGACTGAGCTAACCAGGCGAGATTAAAATTTTAAGCTTGTGGGACAACTAAATCGGGAAATTAGGAACCCAGAGAACACTCCGAAGTTTGTTGTGCATTAGTTTGTGTTTCAAAACTTTCTCGGATTTGGTTTGCTTTTCTCAGCCATTACAATCAGTCACGCGAGGGAGTGACTATAAAACTGGCAAACTGGGTCCGCTGTGTTGAGTGCACATTTCATTCACAGTTCATGTCTGATGCCACTCTTGGGAGTTGACTCTTTCATGTGTAAATATTTTAACATGTTTGCCATAAAGAACAATTCTCAAGGGAATGTCA